AAAAGGGAGGCTAGATAGGTAGTTAACTATACTTGAAGGATCTAAACCCATGGTAATAAAAATTGATGAAAGTTTAGTGATATTTATCAAGACAAATCAGTTCAGATGTTTTCAAATTAGATGAAATTTAGTTTCAACACTGTTACTCGTGAAAATGAAAACATTCAAAGTAAAATGTAGTTTTCATTGTGTCATTAATGTTAACAAGACTGTGAAATTGAACACTTGTCAGTGTGTACTACTGACTGATTCAAGTAATGATAGACTCATCTTGACAAACAGTCACGAAACAGTCTAAAAGTACTGATGTAAGATAGTTGTGTATATACATATAGCTGTCGTAAACGTCGGATAAAGAAATGTTTAACTGATCAGGTTTTACTATGCTCTGGGTAATTTAATCAGAAAGATATTATAGCAATGCATCCAAAAGAAGTTAGTTCAGACACTATCCTTACCTTGGCCATCTAGGTTTGAATGATCATGAATTTTTGTGGAATTTTCCTAATTTTAGTTGATATTCTATTCGCTACTATATCTTTATTATTATTATTTAAGCATCTTTAATGAACTGTAATTGCATTGATCATACTTTACAAATCGATATTATTTAAAAAACGCTAATATTGTTATTGACTACTAACCTAGAATATTCTATGTATACAAACATATGTATAATTTTATAACCACAAGAGGAAATTATCGAAAAGGATATTCTTTACTCAATTATTTTGTTTTTTGGTTACAGGATTTCATCATGAGCTGACATCAGTTAGAGAACCATTGGAAAACCTGGGAGTACTGGACAGCTGTTTCGTCCTAGTTTGGGACTCTTCAGCAGTACGCACCCACCGGGATTGTTTTAATTGTTTTTTAATTATAATTATATTTCTGTAGTTTATACACAATGATCAGTTCTTTTCTTTTGGCATTATATCGAGCAAAGTTGGTCAGACAAATGAAAGAAATAATTGGTAGGTCAAAATGGTTTGAAATTATGCCAAAACCATGCAATATACCTAGAATATATGGCAAGATAAAATTGCATAAAGAGGGATATCCAATAAGACCGATTGTAGACTTTAGAAACACACCAACGTATATGCTATCAAGATTTCTCTCGACAATATTAAGACCAACAAGAGGCAACTCAAAAGCTAGAATAGTAGATTCATTTGAATTAGTGAAGCGACTAAAAACCACTAAAATATAGGAAGAGGAAATACTAGTCAGCTTTGATGTAAACAGTCTCTATACGAAAATACCCATTCAAATGGCCATGAATGCACTGAAAGGGAGACTAAAAGAAGATAATGGCCTAAAAGACAGAACACAGTTATCCGTAGAAGAGATAATAAAAGGGGTGGAATTCTGTCTGACAACTACATATTTCACATTCGAAGGGAAAATATACTAACAAAATGAAGGAGTAGTCATGGGATCGCCTATCTCACCAATAATAGCTGACATATTCATGGATTATTGGGAAGGCAATGAACTTAAACCATTCAGGTCATCACTAAAATGTTGGTGGAGATATGTAGACGACACACTAGTAATAGTGAAAAAAACGATGTTGAGAAATTCTTCTCGCACATAAATAGTCATGTCGACTCAATAAAATTCACTATGGTAATTGAGAATGAAATTGGGGAACTACCTATGTTAGACTGCAAAATACGAAGAATAACATATGGTAGCATAAAAACGACGCTATATAGAAAAACCACACATTCTGGAAGATTCCTTGATTATCACTCAGCTCATCCACTCACGGTAAAACGAGGATTAATACAAGGTCTTGCAGATAGAATACGTAGACTTACAACAACACCAGAGGACCAGTGTAAAGAAATAAACGTCCTATTCAAAATGCTACTCGAAAATAACTACCCAAAAGAATTTATAAAAGATAATATAAAAAAGAGAAAAAAGAGGCTAAAACCAGAGAATAACAAGATGGAAGAATGCAAAAAAACCGTCACAATACCATATAAAAATGGTACATCAGAGACAATTCAAAGAAACTTCAAAAATATCGGCATTCGCACAACTTTTAAACCGACAAATCTAATCAAAAATAAAATAAATCAACTGAAAGATCCCATAAAAATGATGGATAAAAACAACTTGATTTACAAAATATCTTGTGCTGACTGTCCGACTAAATATGTGGGGCAAAAGTCCAGATCACTCAAAATAAGAATGAATGAACGTAAACGCCTAAATAAGGGTCAACTAACAGGAACACAAGCTTACAACAGTTTGAATAAGGCATTTAGAAGACAAATTTTGCGAGATGATATCACTTCGTAGTATCTCTGCAGTTGTTTTACAACTAGGATGGTTCACAAATTAGAAAAAAATTTGGATTTATCTGCACATGCATGGGACAAAAACCACAATACTGATTGGAACAATGTTCGTATTCTGAGATCTAGTATGAACAAATGGAAAGAAGAACTAATTACGGAATCTATATTCATTAAGGTCACACGCCGGATACAAGGAACAACGGTGACTTAGCAGCACAACCGTCAACTACCTGGAATATAATTCTGAATACAGAGAAATGAATGGACGAAAAAAAGAACTACATATATGATTACAAATCACAAAAGTAGAGCCTGGAAGAGGAATTTATCGAAAAGAATATTCTTTGCTCGATTATTTTGTGTTTTATAGAATGATATTATTCGAAAGGTTGGAACATGTTAAGTATTCATCGTCAAATGATCAGGCTACTGAAGTGTAACACCATTACAACTAGAATGCTTGAAATAGATCGATTTAGAAGTGTACAACAGCATGTCATTGGTATGTCAGTTTAAACTGCAAAATGATTTAAACCCCTTTATATATATATATATACATATATATCATTACGGAGTCCTCTAGACCTTAATAAGCCTCATTCAACAGCTACCTGATGGTGTCACATGTCAAGTGGTTTACAACAGAAGTCTCAGCGAAGCCTTTGAAGTGAAGGTAGGAGTAGGGGAAAACTGTCTACTAACACCGATGATATTTCTGATGATAGCGAGCTGGATTATGTGGCAAAGTGTGGGGAGGGGGAAGACAGGAATATGTCGGCCTGACAAGAAAACTCTAGACAATCTGGACTTTGCTGACGACTTATGTCTAATGTCAGATAAACTCGACGATCTGCAGGTGAAAGCCAACAAACTCGTGGGAGAAACAGCGAAGACAGGACTTTCAGTGAAAATAGAGAAGATATAAGTGATAAAGATATCTAGCCACTTATAACAAGAAATTAGAAGGAGGTCACCACTTTCATCGATTTAGGCAGCATCGTTTTATCATTCGAAAGAGATAATATAGTCTGACAGTCTGTCTAGGATTTATTAGTTCCTCTCTGAGTTGTGGAATTGAAAGGTTACCTTAGTTACCAGCGTATAGATAAAATATATACGCATTTCGTAATATTTTTTGTTTTAATTGTAATAATCGCAAGTCAGTTTGTATGTTTCCAATATGAATATAAAATAACTTGGGGAGACACTTAAAAACCCTGAACTTTAAGAAAATCTCCATTATAGATAAGATTTTATTTTGATAAATCACAGTGTTATACAGTAATATTTACTGATGACGTTTTGAGCACAAATTATTACTGCTCATAATCATATCAAGGCACTCACACAACTTTCTTGCTTCATTAATATACATGAGTGAAATTGATTAGACATTTGAATAAAATCAAAATAAGATGAAGTTAATTCGATAGTACTACTAGTGTTATCAATAAAATACAGTAAGATGGGAAATAAGATGTTTTTTATAGTAAAATAAACAACTTGTTAGAATGATATACGTGAATTGAAATAGAATTCCGAGATTATTTATCATCCTCCTCTGATTTGACTGGCGGTAATAATATCTTCCATATCTCTGGTGCTTGCATTGAGTCATTTCTGTTGCATGTGTTGTGTTGGGTGCAGATTCACTCGATGAACCAGATGGGATTCAGTAATCAATCTCTCTCTCCACCTACCTATATTACATTTTAGAATTTTGACTCTATCCCACCCTATTGTGTGATTGTGTGTTAGTGCATGCAGTGCTATTGCTGAGTTGTTTTTCTAAATTACTCATCTTCGTGAAATCAATCATTCTAACCTTAGCTGTATAACACTGTGTGATTTTATCAAAATAAAATTTTATCCATTTTGGAGTTATACTCCACCAAAGTACCCAAGTTTTATGCTTATATTTTAGGAAAATCTGTTTAGTTCTAATTGGTGATTATCCAGTAAAGTACGCTCTTTGCCACTCCAAGAATAGGTTTTACAGTGGATTAAAACTATGGCAGGTTAATTGTGTGGAACTTAGTAAAAAACCCAATGAACTACTGTTGCTAATCCTGAAGCGTAAATTATAGCTAATAGTGTGGGTGAAATGGTGTGATTACTTAAAAAATAGTAAGGTTAAAATGAACTGATGGAAAATTAATCATTTTGAGCTGGAAAACAGAATCTTCAGAAAATCATTTGGTGTACTCTAAAATCTAATATTTGGTTGTGGATATGGAAGTCTTGGTGAAGTTATTGTTGAAAATGTCACCACACATGACGACGAAATGTCCAGGTTCAGATGTTAGAGCTTAGAGTACACCAAACTATTTCCACAATTATTCTGAACTACAAACCTCCTCTATTACTTCATTTCGTTTGATAAGCAACTTTTTATAAGCGGTTCATTTTTGGAAATTTAGGTATATACATATATATATATATTCAGTGTACAATAAGTGATTTTAGAGCAAATAATTAATTTGCATCTCCTTTCGTTGAATATACACAAGTTTCACAGTTTGAGTCACTAATTAAAACTGTCTATAGATTTTACTGTAAATGTTTGCTGTTTCAATCCGTGGTGAAGTATGCCGGTTGTGAACGTCACTGAAAGCCACTCTATGAAAATAAGCTTTTCTGGTGTGAATATATAGGAAAACTACGTGAAGAGAACCTTTTACTTACTTTATCATGTATTTTGTTTCCACTGAAATTTCCAGCTAATTCATACCGTACTGTTTCTGTGGGTTGAATATTCTTTAAGCGGTTTAATGATTCTTCGAGATTCTTAATTCTGTATTTTGAAGATGAAAAAAACAATATTTAATGGTAAAAAGTGATGTTTTGATCTACTTAACATAATTTAAAAGTTCTGTATTTGCAGTCAATATAGTTTGACTGGTAATGAGTCAAAGGTATTGTGAAATGATGCACTCCATCCCTCATTGTACCACGTCACAATTACGTTACCACATATTTTGGGTTTTCCACATACCCCATCGAGAAAACAAGTGATTTTTGTCCATTTAATATTAGTGGTAAAATACTTCACTGAATGTTGTCACCTTCAACTGGCCAACCTTAAGTATTTTTTTAAAAGGCCTTCCACCACATGTGGAATTCTCTACGGATTCTAATAACTACTGCATGCTCAGTAACCTGAGATTGGCATTTTCGTCTTACAAATCCGGATTTTATTCAAGTGTTCGTCCTCAGGGATTTGACTGGTTACAGGATTTCATCATGAACTGAAGTCGGTTAGAGGACCACTTGAAAACCTGGGAGTACAGGACAGCTATTTCGTCCTAGTATGGGATTTTAATTTACGTAACTAGCAGTGACACACACATTTATGAAAAATATATTGTGAAACGCACTATCACTCAGTAGAGTAAGTTATTTAATTGTATACCAGTGCGCATTATGTGTCAATGGTTTCTTTGACAACCAAATGAGATATACTAGCGATTCATCACAGATTATGTTAATCATGAAATGAGCAGAGGATTTGGCACTGTTAACTGCTTTTATCCCAATATTCCATGGAGATACAATTACCGACAACTACTAGAACAGTATTCTAAAGCTAGTAAATGTTTAAATTATCTCAAAAACACACAGCTATATTCAGAAAACCTCACGTACATCTTTATTGTAGTCCATTAAGACTGATTGTCTCGAAATCTCAAAGAGTTAACAGGTTAATCAAAGTCCCAAACCTAAGTTGTTTATTTACAGTGCTAAGGGATTATTCATAGTAAATTTCCAGCTCTTTTATCTATTTTGAAGGGGTATATTAAAAATACTGAATATTTAGTCAATTCGGCCCAAATTTTACATATGTTATTTATCTGTTAGGTGGTCATAGAATGTAGGCCAACTAGCAAATACGTTCTAAGTTACCTACAAAAGGTGGCAGATATCAAATTTGCTTCATAGATATAGCAAATTGAAGCATTTAAGGGGTTTTAAGGAAAAATTCTGCTGTGCCAAAAGTGTTTATGTGTCAAGAACACGTGTTTCGTTTCGTAAAATGCCCTCTAGGAATTTATATTCCAGTTGGACTAAAGTGGTAAAATATTGGTTAATAGTGCGTAAATAACATACGTAGCCGATAATAAGAAGCAATAGGCGAATTTCGGCCATATAGAATAATGTTTCCTATTTCTATCATTATTTGACCACATATGACCAATATTTTACCATTATTTAACAACTGCTTTACAATATTAACCATCATTTAAGCAACAGTTTCCCATTCTGACCATTAGTTAATCAGGATTTGCCCATAATATTACAATTCCTAGCATTTGGCGAAATTGTGCCCATTTTAACCATTATTCTTCCATTTCTGGCCGACTGAGTCTAGTCCCACAATGAAAATCACAAAAACCAATTGCAATACATTTTTTTCCACTGAAAGACCATTTTTGTCAAAGTATTGTCTTATTACGGTTATAATGTCATATGTAAACTGCAGGCTGTATGACTGAAGAACCGATTCACAATAAAACAGAGGGATTAAAATGTTTAATGACTGCATTTAGTTTTATGTGCTCTACATTTTTTGTACAACAAAAGAGTTAGTTAGTACAGAGAGCTGAAGATAAAATTTAGTTTATCTATCTATAACTGAAATTAACAGATATACCGAAATCACGGGCAACAATCTAACTGAAATCGATTGGCTCATGCATCATATTACCTACAATTAGTAAATTAGAAACTGTCATATATTTTGCTGCCCACCATTAAATATGCAGATGAACCTATCTAAAGAAACAAGTGTGTCGCTTGTGACTATCATATGAAGAATTACTAGCATTTCTAGGTACGAATGATGACGTCTTCAGAAGTTCCTGAAAGTACACTTATGTGCACTTGTGATGGATTACCGTTTAATGATAATTTGAGCGTATAATGCTAGAGAAATTGTAGTTTACTGAGAGCAATGACCAAACGTAAGGATAACTTCTGATGAGTATTATAAATGTGTTAGTACGTTCAAAAGTTCAGGTAATGATTCTAAACAAGTCAAACTAAAAGTCTTTCTCTAAGTTTTAGAAAAACGATGGCATTATCTCCCGAAATGCCTCACGTTTATATTCTTCTGACTTTATTATTATTATTTTAGATTATCTTGAAAATTTTAGTAATTCTTACTCTTACATAAAATTACTGTGCGCAGTGACAGAGTTATTTCTGTTAGATATATTAGAGTAGGTTTTGAGGGCTGTGGAGATAAATGATCGAAATGCACTCAACAGAGATTAAAGTCTTTATAATAAATCATTTGATTAGCTGAGCGCATGTGCTGCAGCACTCAGTAACTAAGGTAGAATGTCAGGGCAGTCCAGTTCACCTAGCATGATCTGAAAATAAGTAAGGAATCCTTGAAATTAGAAAATTGGGAACTAGTGAAATCTGATATATATGTGGAATTTAAAATGACTTGCCTGTGTAAAAGCTGGAGGTTGTTTTCTGCCAAATTGTTAAGCTTACTGCCTTCTAGATGCGTTTCATTTATTATTCTATCTCTGAGAAGCTAAGGAAAAGCATAACAAAAAAACACAATAATTACACAAATGTAATTCGTCATCTCTTGAATTCGCACGTTTTTTGTAACCTACAGTGCAGGCAAGGTCATAATTTTGACGAAGTATAACAAGTCGCTCAGGTTTGACTTAATATCTTAAAGTTTCACCATATTATATACACCGAATCCATTTCTTTATTCTTGCTTCCTGGTAGTGAGGTCATGGTTTCTGATTATCGGTGATCTGTGCAGTTAATCCTATGACATACCTGCCTCAACAATGCTAGACTCTGGGATAACTAATCGACGCGTAGGTTATAGTGATTTTAAGTAAGAACTGTGTTAAGTCAAGATGCCGGAGCCGGTCATTTTAATTCTCGTCTTGTGTTTTTGGAAACCTAGACAATAAGCATATGACTCATGGAAATATGTGAATTAATATAGGAAAACGAACCTGACAAAATTGACAACCAGCAGCAGTACTTGAAGGTCAAACGAACGAAAAAATGGAGCGGGTGGAAGAGTGAGGCAAGAAAGACTGTTAGAGAGAGAAGGGAGAGTCTATTTGGGGGCCAAATCATAGCGTGAGTTTATTTAGGTAACATTTCACTTCGGTCAATAGGAAAGTCTGTTGAGTACAGTTTGTTTGCGTGGTTGTCAAGGTTCCTCCTTAAGGGCTTTGTAGAACCAGCTGCTGGCAAACGATTTTATGAACAGAAAATGAGAATCGAAAAGGGGCAGAATCGCATTGAAATCTTTGTAGTACCCCTATACCAACTATAAACACACGCATTTTAATCTAATTTGCATACTTATATGTTTACACAGACCGATTTTATGTGTAGTTCGTAAACATTTGTCAACTTACTGTTGAACGTTACCTTGATACAATTTTGAAATTTGACTACTGCTATAATACACGATTACACTCTTCACAAGTGCCTTCTGATTTTACGTTGTGGGCGTCGAGTAGCCACAACGTCTATGCACATCGATAAACGTGAAGAAGTGCTAGAAAATACGTGTACGCTAATTTAGTCAAATAGAACACGCAACATCTTCATCCACTTATCAGCTAACCCTCAATCTGACTCGGCGCTCAAATTATTCTAGGAAGTTCGTAACATCTACGGTCTGGAAACATGTTTATATCCATCGTTAGTCTCTACGTATAGGTCTGGTGGTGGGATACATTTGTTCAGATGGTTCTAATCTTTGGCAGTCTTATGAGTGTTGATGAAATCGCTCTTTGCCTGGCCGCAGCTAGGTGTGAAAAGCTTAAATTTCGTGACTTTTCGGTAAATGTTTTGTGTTTGAAGCGCATAACTTCTTCTACCACTCTTCTTTGAACCTTTTACAAAATGTTCATATATCTTCTTTGTAATGATGACACTATCCACCTCGAAGTGTTGTCATACTTAGATTTCATAATGCCTTGGGAAAAACACAGGCGTCAGATCACCTGGATGTTTACGCACGAAATGCATATCCACATATATCTTAGCCATATCATTCAACTAATCCACATTGGTATCCTGTATTACTACCAGAAAAAGACCTTAATATGGGTGTATTCTTCCCGAATCACTTATCAGACTCCATCCGTTCAAATATTATAATTCGAACATGGCCAGATTTCAGATTTGCTTAGTAGTTATCTTTCCAAATCTGTCTGTTAAACGTTCTTTGTAGCGAAACTCCAATTCACTTTCACCATCCGTAATTTGAACTGTGTCTGTTTCATGTGATTTTCGAAGTGTTCGGCTGATTTATTTCTCTAATTCGCTGTTATCCGAGTGATATTCGGTGTTTCTTTTTATGTGACTTTTTAATTTAAATTCACTTATCTTTGAGGTCATTTCATGTTAGCTACAAGTCAGTGTATCACTAGAAGTGAGATTGTTCAGATTAAGATACATCGAATCCTGTTGATCAACCTTGTGGTCACATTTGAGTCGTTTCAGTTACATGGCGCGAGCTATAATATCAAGTACTGATAAGTAATTTTCATTAAACGAAACTTACCTGGACATCTAATGTAACAACTGTAGTGAAACGATGAGTAGGTCAACAAACGCTTCTCTTACCTGGCCTTGAAGATCACCATTCTGGGGACTGCTGTGCCGAATATTATGGCAACACGGATTTTCAAACATCATCTATGCAAGCAACTAACGGAATGCATTGATCTACCTATTTGATTTGGTCGGTGTTACTTTAATATTCGAATCATTGAAATGGTGATGGCAAGAGCAACGACTTTTCGGAACTTCTTTCTTACAGCAGTCTCATGTCAATGATCTACGTTCATGTGTTCTTTGAATACAGTTACGCGCCATCCTCTCTAATAGAGCTATTGTATTTTGTGAAATATCCATTTGGAAAATCCTATCTTTCTAGCTGTTGAATCAAGTTCGACCGGTGCCTCCGCATTGATTCTTTGTTTTGTAAGTCCAAATGTCTCGAACTGCAGTCCAAGCTTCAAGTGCTACTTTTGTGGAGGCATCTTCTCAACTCTATTAGACCAGCAAGACTTTTAAACTGCCACGTGATTGACTTGAATTTGAATAGCCTGAAAGTTCTAGGTAAAAGCGAAAACCCTATTATTATTCCCCATCGGTTTTTGTCTTTATTCTATTCATAATTCGCAATAATTGGCAACATGATAGTCGAATCTAGGCTTAAGAAGGGAATTAATACAGCCGGGCTTCGACTAAGGGAGGAAATAAACCGCATACAGACTATTAGGACCCAGTCATATATTCCCTATCCTTATAACTTGTATACATCGCCTCAGTCCATTATTGAAACTGCACAGGTTTAACCAAGTGGATGCGGTACAACATTGATGGCCATGGGAAAAAACGTCTCACGCACAACAAAATTAAAACGAAACGCTCGAGACGTCATAAGTAACAGGAGTTTTTTGAGGTTTGTATTTCTGTTGTTTGTAAAAGCGAGTCGGCATTTAAGTGCAACTTTTGTAAGCGGTGGGTTCACTGATTTTATATGAAACAATCTATCCTCGTTGTCCTGGCACACATACAAAATTTATCGCCCTGTCATGTCCCCATGCAGAACAGAAAAATTAGCTGGACAACTTAGACGTTATACTCCAGCCCAACTGGCTGCCAGTTTAAATCCACAGAAACCGAAGACACTTGAAGTCACACCCATGCTCTTGGAAGCCCTGCATACACGATGGTATGGTCACCAGGGAGCTCTGTAATGATAAAATACTACTTGCATCAACTAGCGAATGTGGTCTTGGCAGTGTGGCACTGAAGAAAAACATCTCGCATCAGGCTAAGGTTAATGACCCCAGAAAGGAAGATAAGGAACAGGGAACTCATTCTAAGTCAAGGGTCAGTCAACCGAACTGGTTCATTCCCTTAACGTACCAGTGTGCGGTAACAGCCTGCTTGGACAAAAGGCGTTTATGACTGGGACTTGACACAGCCTATAAAGCTGCGTGACTATACAAGGGTCTTCAGGCACCTCGCAATAAACCACTTACATGGGGGTGATAATGAGACCTACTGAAGTTGTTGAGAACGCATTTGTACTGTTCCAGGTCATGGCTATGGAGGGAAGCTGAATATACGAATGAAATCTGAAAGGATGAGGGGATATACGCAAGTGGCGAGGCACCCATCAGAGCTGATACCCTCCACCTCCATTGTCATACCCAGTGTTCCGGTCCTAGAGACTGGCACTACTTTAGAGAAGCGCATGCATTGTGTACAGAGATGGGGATGGCTGTAATCTCAGATGGCACTTCATGATTATGTGGGCAATCTCGATCTGTGGACTACCTCGTTGTATTCATCTCGCACCCACCATCGTCACTGGCCGTCACATTATCTTAACAGGGGCAGTAGGCTATAGTGCCACTACAGCGATATGAGGCCAAGGATAAGGTTGGTGGGCATATTCGAGGCTACAAAAGCCGACCTCAGGCTTTGTGGAAGGTCAATGGAATAAGCCGGCTGGTTAGGACACTGACTTCTCGACGGGCAGCCTCCATCACGCTAACCGCCCCACAACACTGCAGGGTGGCGACGCTGATTATCTGTCGTCTGTATAGTAGTGTGAGGGGGCTGTGGGTGAAAATGGCTGGACCAAGAAGTCTGAAACCCCCTAGACCTCAAAAAACAACCCTGGTAGTAACCTGGCTAAAACCTACTACTGCCAACAGTGGAGTCAGTATAAGTGGTGTGGTCCTGGTCAGGGGGGAGGAGAACCAAACACACTTATCGGTGTGGAGATGAATTTCGTTAATGATATGTAGATAGTTTGCGACAATCCAAGTGAGTTATTCTTATTCACTTAATTTGTTGCTACTTTATGAGGGGCAGTCGGATGAAAAGGCCAAAAGAAGAGTTCATTCGGCCTACACACCGTTTAAAATTGAGTCATGAAGGATGAAGATGATCTGATATACATAGGGTATGTATTTTCTGCAAAGAGACTGGGAATATTAAATCAGTTACAGTAAGCCAACGATTTTTTGATTCAAAGAGACACACTATCTACCGACTGTAGGTTCATGCAAATTCATATTGTCCGCATGACTTGTTTGGCAAGACTGTTAATTCGTATGACCTAATTGATTGCTTTTAATTATGCTGCCTCTAGCTTGGGTTAATCTGACACCGTAGTTAGATGCTCATTGCGAAAGTTGACGATTACAGCATATAATAGAATGACACGTCGGTTTTTTTGACTTCAATTTTTGTGCAAACTTTTTTGGAGGAACTGCTACTTATAAGTTATTTAGATGTGTTGGTATATCATTAATTTTTCGCCAACGCGTCACATTCTGGTGTATTTTGTGCTTTAAATGTGTGTTGTTAGGTAACTAACATCTGGCAAAATGACTCTTAGTGGGAATGGAGTTCGTTGAGATACAGCGGCCTTCATTACTTGACGTCCTGTGCTTTAAAGGTCATGACGTTTTTTTTGCTGTATTACATAAATCATAAAGTATGACTGATTGCAAACTATGTATACATCAACATTATCGGACAGCATCAACAGTTATTTCCCATTTTCTCTATTCCTTGTCGCGTTTCTTGTCGATATTTACAATAGAAGGACAACCAT